TGAGTTAGTAACACAAACAAAATAGAGAAACGAGTTAGTGCAAGCAAGATAATCAATATAGTTAAAATATGTTATCTACAGATAAATATAACATCTACCCGTCATGATATCTACCTGAGCATGCTTTCAATAGATAACAATCCTACCCGGACATACTACTTACCCAAAATGAATAATTTCAAAAAAAATTGGTCCTAACCGCATGGTATCTAGTTCACATGCTTTTATTCAACAGAATTTAAAGTAAAAATGAAAGGTTCAGAAACACTCCTCCTTTGTGTACACCTAAGTTGGGTACCTACTGACGGACAGAGGTTCGGTATGACTATACCTATGGTGACCGTTCTAAGGTTCATTATATGCATGGTTTCAGCTCTAACAGGAAAAAGGTACCCGAATTGTCCTTGATGTCGGTGCCCCCTTGGGCTGCCAGACCCTCAATCCTTACCCATTACAGGTTTCAAACGGACCGAGTTCAATTCGAGGGGATTCACTGTCTTATACCCATGCGAGGAATAAATTCCTACGAAGGTATAAGGTATGTATCCCATGGGTTATTTGCTAAAACTCATACGAAGAATAAATTCTTACGAGAGTAAAGCATTCACCCTGACTAATTTGGATCGAAGCTCGTGTCTAGAGCTTATGTTATGCAGATGCGAGTGATGTGTGTGAGGAGGAACATACCTACCTTCGACTCAAAAGGACAACAAAACAAGAAAAAAAAATGATAAAATCCTGACAAAGCTGAAAGCCAAAAATAAAATGTTAGTACGACAAAAAAACGAAGCAATTAAAAATTTCAATAAACGGATCATAAATTAACTAAAACTAGAAATCATAATTTCCACCAAGATGACAATATGTAAACGACATACAGCCTGACTCTCTAAAAAAAAGGTCCCCAGCAGAGTCGCCAAGCTGTCATAACCATTTTTTTTAAAAAAACAAATACCTTTGTATAAAAAAAACGATTACGACTCTAATTTGGAAAATTTGGGAAATTTGGAATTAATTTGGAATAAATTGAATAGAGTCGCCATCGACCTTTGGGTTAGGTAGGTCGAATACCTAAAAACGTCTTTTAAAACAATTTTAAGAAAAAATCATTTTTTAGACAAAATTCGGTATGCGTTGCCAAAGATTCATTTAAATGGATTCGGAAGTCGGTTACGCGTGGGGAAGGATTAGCACCCCACAGCGCCCAAAATTGGTACTGTGTCGCTTACACATTGTCATAATGGTGGAAATTACAAATCGAATATAAAGTTAATTTATGATCCATTTATCGAACATTAATTAATTTGCTTCGAATTATTTAATTAGAGAAAATTCTTTAACTCGAAAGGAAATCTTGAAATTAGCAATCCTCCATCGGGACAACTAACTCGAACTATTTCTCATTCGTAAAAGAATATTCTACCATTGATTATGTTAAAAATACAAATCGAATATAATTAAAAACAAGGTTTACATACGAATAAATTGATTAACTGAAAACGTGAATTGAATACAAATTAAAAATTTTGAAATTTACATTCACATAAAATAAAGTAAATTGTCATTTAAAATAACACACATTGCATCGTTTGAATAAATTAATTAGTAAAATATACTCGACTTATTGCAAGTTCCTATGTCGTTAAAATGCCGTATCGGATTGTACCACTTCGACCAAATGGTACTTTCCACGCCCATTCTACGCATACGTGTTCTTGAAAATATAATCGAATATTTCTTACACAGATAAAGATATAATGAAAATAAATGTAATTGGAAATACAAAATAAAATATTTACATTAAATGAAATTGAAAACATTATTTACATAATCCAAATAATTAACTTAATGAGTAAAATACACATCCATACATAAATGTCTAAAAATAAATTAGTAAATATTACAAACCAAAATAAATATAAAACATTTAAGGGGCTAAAATAATAGAAACAGAAACTTAGGGGGCTAAACAGCAAAAAACAGAAAGTTAATGGACCAAAATAGCACTAACCGAAATTTAAAGGACTAAATAAAAAAATAAAAATAATTTAGAGCCCATATCACAAACATTAAACAGTCAAATACTAGAAGTGAAAATAACCCAAAAGTAAAGCTTATGACTAAATTGAAATTTCACAGAAACATGGAGGATCAAAAAGTAATTAAATAAAATGTCAGACAGTGACCAAAATAGAACATTTGCAAATATGATGGCTGAATTCAACATCCACAAAATATCACAACACAAGAACTTAGGACTAGAATGAAACTATTACAAACATAATGTCCAAAAGTCAAATATTCACAAAAATGACATAACATACATTAATAGGACTAAAATAAAGTATTTTAAAAAATAGGATGGCCAGATTCGAATATCAAAGAAACATACATGAAATATTAAATCAGTGGCTAAGATGTAACATTTATAAATATTGAAACCAGAACCCAATATAAACCAAAAAATGTTATAATACCTAGGATAGTGACTAAAATGAACCTAAAAGAAAATTTAAGCCTAAATCAAATATTAATCCCAATCGCACCCACAAGCCAACATAAAGGACCGAAATGAAAAGGATGCAAAACAGATGATCAAAATCATAAACCTCATCGAAAATAAAAACTAAGAACAAAGATGGACTAAAATAGAAGGCAACCCAGTTTAAAGACTAAAACATAAATGTTAATAAATTCCATTAATATACATACAATGATCAAAATAAAATTAATCACAAATCAATAAACCTGAATAGGCATAAAACCAAACTAACATTACAGAAAATTTAAGGACTGAAATAAACATTTCACAAATTCCAGGCTTGATATATAAAAATTGTCATAAACATCAACACATATGTTAGGACGAAAATATAACAAGAAATAAAAAGGAGACTCAAATAGGAAAACTGAAACCTAAAAGACTAAATAGGAATTAAACCATACACAAGCCAATGGCTAAAATAATATATTCACAAATATAGTGACCAATGTCAAATATTAACAAAAATAACTTAACAAATAATAAAAGGACTAAAATATAAATAAGGAGACATCAGAATCTGAAATCAAATAAATGAAACTTCATTTAATGGCTAAATAATACGGTTACAAAGCATCAGGGACCAAAAGAGTAGTTTACCCCTTAATATGAAAACACGGAAACCTCTAAACGGCGTCGTTTTTGAAACTGGGATATAATCCCATTTTAGGGTTATTAACCGAACCCTAAATCATTTTCACCCCTCTCTCAGCCTCCTTTCCTTTCCCTTTCTCTACTCTCCTTTCTCCCTCGCCGCAACAACCAAACAGAGGCTCCCCGGCCACCGTGACGGTGGCCATGGGGAGCAAACCGACCCCTAAAGACCCTCAATCCTCTTTCTTGTTGCCGAAAGAAAAAAGAAAACCCCGGCCACCGTGAATCGGTGGCCACGGGGTTATACGAATAAAACCCTAAACTCTCCCTCTATCCTCTGTTTAAATCGCTCAAAACCCTTGAAACACTCAACCCTAAACCAAAAACGATAACCCCTTTTGTTTACCTTCGGTGCGGTGGCCTAGCTTTGGTCTCGGCGAAGCCCACGGCAGAGGTATCACGAAAGGTAATCTCTTCTTTCCTTTTTCTTTTTATTTTTTCATATATTTTTTTTTTGGGTTTTCTCGGATTCCTTCTGTTTTTTCAAAACCTCCCCCCGAATCCCTCTTTTTTTCTACTGCATGTGCTTTAATCCTGCATTTGGTTGAGATGATGAGGTCTAGGAATAGGGGAAATTATGGGTTGTTGATTTAGGGTGATTGAATCCCGGATTTTCGGGATTATAGGGATTTTTTTATGGGTTTTCAGATTTAGGCCACTGTATTTGATAAGTTGATATTGATTTGGTTTCTGTTGATTGTTTTATTTTTCGCTGTTTCTATCACTGTTCGGCCTCTGTTAATGATGACGGCGACGATGAGATGGACCGGCAGCAGTGACGACGGCGGTGGGAAGTGCAACTTGCTGCTGGCGGTGGCGGCGGCTGGATAGGGGATTAGGGTTTGAAACCCTAATTTGTTTTAGGGTTTGAAACCCTAATCTGATTTAGGGTTTGAAACCCTAAACTGATGGGTTGTTGGGCCTATGTTGGGCCTTGGTTGGGCCTTGTTGTATTGGGCTTTGGCCTGCAAAATATGTAAAATGTAATATTAATAATAAATAATAATAATAATAATAATAAAAATAACGATAATAATAATATACAAAAAAGACCCGGACAAAAACGGGTGTCCACAACCTAGATTCGATGACAGTTGAACATTGCACATTGGACTAATTAGTACAGCATCTCCACTTGGAAAATTGCGAAATAGTAAACGAGGCGAGTTAATTTCAAATGGTGGCGTCGAGTCGCCGCTTAATGTTCTGCTTTAATGAACTGCTCGCCACGTGTCTCCTGCCTGCTACAGAAGACAGCCGACTTGCATTGCATTGCATTGCATTGCTTCCTCTTCAGGGATGACAATTCTTTTTCACAGCACTAAAACTATAACTCTTTCGAGGAATAAGTGCTTTTAATTTCCACTCATTTCCTTTATTCCTCTACTTATATAGTACTTTAAAAGTGAAATTTATAATTCATAGATCGAAAAAGATCATTATTCCCATCATATTTTTAAATCATATCTCTGTCCTAGCAAACGGCTCAAAACGGCTGAATTTTTTGTGCAACGACAGGCTAATAATTAAAGCTCGCTTTTCTTTTCTCTCTTGTTTCTCGGCCGATTCGGACTTGAGTCTGCTTCTGTAATTCGGTTGAAGAAGCTGTAACATGCTTTGTTCTATGGAATTTGGATGTGATTTGGGAAGAGAACTTGAGTCTAATTTATGTTCTCGTCAAAATTTACTTTCTCCGGCTATCAAAATCGATTAAAACAAAAAGTGGGAGAAGAAGAAAGGAAGGTCAATGGAAAATCTCACTCTCTGCAAAGAGAAGAAGAAACTAACAGCTAAGCTCACTGGTTTAATTTTGGTCTAGGGTTGGTTGGCAGTCGTGATTCTCGTGATTTTCAGAGTTGTCTCTTATTGTTGGCAATTGATCATTGCCATCATCACCGCCCATTTCTTCTTTCACTTTCTCACCGCTTTCAGGTATCTCTGATCCTTCCTTGTCCTCAAACTTACCATTCTTATCACCAAACGAGGAAGCTTTAGTGCACACAGGGGTAGCCAAGAACGTGGGCTTTTCCTCACCGGCCATTATGACCAGAATCTTCTCCTCGTAAACCTTCACCGGCTTGGTTGACTCACCCTCGTTTTCACCGCTTTCGACATCCCTTTCGGCGTCGCCTCCTTCACCGTGGTTGTCCAAGAGACCAGAAAGTCGCCAGTAGGAGCAAGCTAGGATCAAGAGAGCGAAAGCAATGAGACCCAGCATCGTTGCTAGGCCTCCGAAGAGGTAGGGCACGGGCGAGTGCCATGGAGAGCGTGGCTGCGCCATTGCCGGCGGTGACAATGAGGGCATACTTGCTGCTTCCACTGTGTTACCGCTGCTAATAGGCCTCATCTTATAGTGTTTCTTTATAGACTTCGATTTTATTGTTAATGGAGAAGGTGGTGATTTGGTTGAGGTAGAGGAGAAGAAGGTGAAGACTGAAGAGTGTGAGCATGCAAAACAGAGATGGTGAGGACTGTTATTTATAAGCAGGGAAAGTGAGGGAAATTAAAAAAAAAAATCTGTTTTGATTAGGTTAGGGTCACGGGCTTGGCCCTGTTTATACGCTGTTTTTCACTCTAAATAACGATGGCAGCGATGTTGGCTCAGATCCTTCGCATCCGGGTAGTGACCCTAATGAACCATGGTGCGTTGTAGTCGGACCTCAAGGCGAGAGAAACGTGGGCCCTGAAGAATCACCAATGGCAGCTCTGTGTCATGGGGAGTATAAGCATATTAGGCATTAGCATATTCCATGGACAAAATTTTATTGGTTTTTTGGCCATTAAGATTTTAATATAGTACACTAAGCTTAAAAAGGTTCCTTACATCTAACCTGATTTGAAAGTTGGTGGATGCTGGTTCTATTATTTCATTTCAAATCTTTAAAGAGGCCTCATTTTCGTCTTTTACATAAAAAAAACTGTTGTCGTGATTATTATTTTACAGTTAAAAATATTTTATAAACCAATGCATTAATGTTATATATCCTATTTAAGATTTGTGAGTAGATACAATATAAAGTTTATGTTTTAAGATTTACTATTTAAAATTTAATAATTAACATATATAGTTTATAGTCATTCGAATATATCGATATTTACCTATTCTAAATTTTACATTATCTATATATCAAATATTTTTCTTATTAGGTTTGCATCTTATGCATCATTTTTTTGTTTAATCTATAATAAGTATAAGACAATATCTATTCAAAGATAATTTTCAATCATTTGACATTGAACATTTACACTCTGACATTAATGGTGCTCAAACCAGAGACTTTAAGGAATAATAACTATTCTTTTAATATCGAGATCGCTGGTTCATACACATCTTATGCATTATTAATAAATCATAGTAAAGTACATCTTTAATAGATTAATAACTATTTTTTAAAAAACTGCTAAAAGTAAATTCATGAAATATAAATCCCTTAATCCAATATATATTCTCTTTTGTAAAAATGCAAATCTCAGATTTCTTCCTTCTAAAATTCCTAATGTTTAGTGCCCAAAAATGATCTATTCAGGCTAGATTCATGTTAATCCAAAAGGGCATCGATGCTTCAAGTGCTACTCGACATGAGTAGACGTAAATAAGATCGAAGCGATAAATCTCATGCCCAGTGTTCTTAAGATGGAATAAAAAAAAATCAATCGATTTGGATATAATCCGCTGACGTTGCTGACAGAAAATGAAAACTTGATTTACTGTGCTTGATTGTGAAAAAATATTCTTTATCGAACCAAATATGTAATTATGGTAGCAGCATATTGGCTTAGTTGCGGATGACGCTAATGATAATACTCGGAAGATGGTGGGTTGTAAATAGACCCTTCTTCTTTTTTTCTCCCGGTTTTAAGGTTTCGTCTTGATTAATCCGGACCGGTTCGCATCGTACACCTAGTTCTGGTGGGTGAGTCCCTAAGAAGGAATCATGTGCATACACAAAGACTTGAACTTGAGATCTTACTTAAACGATATTAAAATGATTACCACTTGAACCAATCACTATTGGTAGACCCGTCATTTATTCACGTCAATTTGTCAAATAAATATTGTAATAATTTAAAGACAAATGATTATTATTTAGAAAATTGATTGTATTGTTCTTTACTTTCAAAGCATAAGATGATTTTGAAAAGGAGTGTTCAATTAATCCACTGTGCAAGTAATTATAGGAGGGGGCACTTGCATCTTTCATGTACACTTCGGGGGGTCCATACCATATCTTAGGCCTTAGGGGCACTAATTACAATTTGCTGACATCAACCACAACCGTTTAATTAAATAATAAAGAAGGTAAATAATGGAAGCATTAGCTTTGTGGGTGGCAATATTGGGATGCCAACAATGTGTTGTGGCTTTCCATTCATTTCGTGCTCATTAGCTCTGTCATTTAATCTCATTACGTTCCCCATCTAGCATTAGCTGTACCGATTAGCATTTAATTAGCGATTAATTATATTAGTTGGAAAGAAACCGAATGGTCAGGTGTTTTCTTTCAAATCGAACACAGCGTGTCAGTGCTGAGTCTGTTTGCATGCATGGTTTAAAAGAGTCGATGACATGTGAACAGTTGAGTGCAAAGACCAAATGAGTCCAACCTGGACATTAAATGAAGTAGAGTAGGTTATCACAGGAAATAGGTTAATTAGCCCGTGAAATCTAATTGGTCCAACGATTGCATTTGCAGCAGCCACCAAACCCTTCTATTGGTCATCGGTAAAGTCATCATTCTGACAATGATTTTGCATTGACTAGCTAGCATTTTGTTGACGTCACGGTCGCCACTAAGTTATTCACAGATTACAGGTAAGAGGAGGTATTTGATCAGTGTTGGCCTATATTTCTTCGTTGCGATTCGGCCACAGCTTCAACTACGAGGGTAGTGATAAATGATTAAACCAAGTGATGGGGTCATTGGACTTGATGAAAGCAATCGACGACATGAAATATGGTAATGAGCGTCCCGTTCCGATTCCCATCTGTCACTGGTTCATTAGTTACACTGTTCAGAATGACCCAACTTTTTCTTTCCGTACCTTAGCAAGGCTATGTTGGAACCTGGAAACTATTCTTGCACACATAGAATGTATGAAGCATCCTCATTTGTACATTTACAGGCAATTATTTGCAGTATTAAGTCATTTGGCATGACTAAACTTTGATTGGAGCATTGTTGATGAGAAAAAATTGGTTGTGTTGATTATAAATAATTCATCTCTTTCTATTAAAGAGAAGAGCCTTAACAAGTAGTTTATGACCGATGACCAACTGAAGATGATAAACAATTTTCCTATCTCTAGATTGAGAGATAGGAGGAAGAAGGAAAAGCTCATTTTCTATTTCTCATAGGAGTTTAGTTTGAGAGATAGGAGGAAGAAGGAAAAGCCCATTTTCTATTTCTCATAGGAGTTTATATTGTTGGTAATATTGACTGTAAAATCATACACCGTTAGTATTAACTGGACCACTGCTTTAGAAACGAATTCGTCATGACGTGTGTAACCGCTCCAATAGGCATATCGTCCCTCGATGTTAGCACGTCGCTCCAAATTCCATTTGAAGTGGAAATTCCTTACGAATTTTCTCTAAAAAGATAGAATCCGCAGACGTGTCGAAGACATGTATTGCCACGACCACGACCTCGACCTCGACCACGAGCACGAGACGAGAAGGACGGACAACGGCGGCACGATGCGCGAGAAGTCCCCCTTGTTCTCTATCACTAAACAAGAGAGTGGAGAATGTAAACCTTAAATATTCAATCCCAATGTATTTACTCACTCAATGTGGGATTGAGCATTACTAACATTCCCTCACTAATGCGAAAGAATTCTTCTAAAACTAAAAACAATCTTTCTAGAAGGGCAATAGCGAGATTAGTTGCTTAAGCACTAGTGAACGTATCTTGAACTAGTACATAGTGATGATGAGAAATTATTTTCTTAGATAAGTGAAACTAGTCTTTAACTTTCTAAGGTAAGGGTAAACTCATAACACACAACTAACCCCTTCATCCACTTGAGTCCTCGATGTGTAAGATATATATATATACAAAAGTATATATTTGGCCATCTTACCTAAGAATTATAGTAAGTGTGCTAGAAAAATGACCCAACATTTTTCATAGAATGTGGCTAACCCTTCTCACCTACGTAGGTTATTTCATCAGGTTTATCTTGATATAAACCACCCTTAAGAGGGCTATAAAATAATCAAGAGCTTATAAAACAGCTCAAGCTCACAGAAGGTATGCTGACTTTCTTCAAGTTCATTATAAATGAACCATCCAAACTCTAGGATAAGAAGTCATTAAGAATAAATATTCAACCTCTTTAGTCGGTGAATTCAATATGGCATTCTCACTAGGACTATCTGAACTTTGGATTTGAATTCATTAAGAGTTTTTCATAACACTCAACCTTTTCTAGCGGTAAACTCATCTTGTCATTCTCAATTAGAATTACCCACTCAACTATGGATTATGAACTTATTAAGAATATATATTCAATCAAAATCGGTAAATTCATCAAGTCTTTCTCACTAATATCACCCAAAACCTGGGCTATGAATTTATTAAAAACAATTAAGCTCAAACTGGGCAGTACATTATTCGTCATAGGGATAGATTGATAAATATACACTATGAGTTTTTCTGTAGTTTCGTTTGACCACATTGAACTTAGATACTAAGTTGGGTATCCACAACAAATTCCACAACCAATGGACTTTAGACCCATCTCCCTCAACAAATCTAGAACCAGCTTCCGGCTTAACCATTTGGTAAGCGGATCTGCTAGGTTCCTTTCCGACTTCACATACTCTAAGGAGAGTACTACTTTCCTTATCAAGTGTCTAAAAAATTCATGCCTTATGTGAATGTGTCTTTTTTTTACCATTGTAAGCTTGGTTCTTCGTCACACATATCATAACTTGCAAATCACACAATAAGGAAACAAAAGGAGTCACTCTTCCCCACAATGGAATTTGAGCTAATAAATTTCTGAGCCACTCAGCTTCTTGCGCAGCTAGATCAAGAGCTATAAACTCTAATTCCATGATAGAATAAGCAATACAAGTATGATTTGCAGATTTCCACTAGATTATTGCTCCGCCTAAAGTGAAAACGTACCCACTTGTAAAGCTTACCTCATCATTGTCAGAAACCCAGTTGACATCACAATATTCTTCTAGTATCACATGATAACCAACAAACTCAAGTTTTCAATCTATTGTACCCTTAAGATACTTGAGTAAGCGTCTAAGAGCAAACCAATGCTCATAACTTAGATTATGGGTATATCTACCAAGTCTACTCACAATATAGGCAATATCAGGCCGAGTATAATTCATTAAGAACATTAGACTTCTGATCACGTTAGCATATTCAGTTTAGGAAATGCTACTCCTTTTATTCTTAAAGAGATGTATGCTGGTGTAATAAGGGGTT